CCATGCCTTACATTCACTTCTCTTCCCCCTTTCACGTAAATTGCTTATTCTGTTTTTTGTTTCAATGTCTCTGACATAACTGTTTCCTTTTCTGCAAGTATTCTGCTCTACGTTCAGGATCAGCATCCCTACGCTGTCTGTAAAGTCGCTGCTTCTCAGCTGCACTCAATTTAGCCATACCTGACCAAAGGAGGATTAACAATGATAAATAAAAGTTAGAATCACAAAATCATAGTGCTATTTTATGCAAAATAACTAAATTAATAGCTTTGAATTAAGTTTATCTAAAATGGGAGTCACTGGTGTTACTGATCGTCACTGGTGTTACCCATAAAGAAGGTAACACTAGTGACAGTAACACCAGTGACAATTTTCATGAAAAAAGCATTTTACAAAATGGCTGCTGCTAGGTATCAAACTACATGTTGTCAATCATGGTATATTTTCTAAATTAAGTAATTTAATCCTCCTTATTCTTCAACTATAATTATTAGATGAGACTAAATTGTTACATTTGGCATACATTTAGCAATTAGTCAAAGCAGTTAATAAAAGAACAAACATAAACTGATCTTCACTGGTGTTACCCATAAGGAAGGTAACACCAGTGACAGTAATCACGAAAAATGCATTTTACAAAATGTCTGCTGCAAGGTATCAAACCACATGTTGTCAATCATGGTATGCTCGCTAAATTAAGTAGTTTAATCCATTTGTATTCTAGTTTTTTACAATTCCCTAACCATAAAGTAGGTCATACCAGTGACTTCAACTATGAAATCATGAGATAAATGAGAAAATTTCTGATAACTGAAAAGAGACAGTGGACTTACCATGGGCCTGCCTTCATAGATCTTCAGGAAAGGAGAAGGAGGTAGTCGAGCGATGTCATTAGTGTGATTTTTTTATTCCAAAATAAAAGACTTTTGTTAAGCGGTAACACCAGTGACACAACTCCAGGGGACCACTATTTTCATTATATATTTTATAATAATTATTTGACATTTTGGTTTTTTATGCCATTTACATCATATATTTGATCGTTATGAATAGACTTTTGTATTTTAAATGGTAGAAAATCCTGTTTTTGACCTCAAAATAAAGCACTTTCCCTCTGTACATGGCTGTGGGGACAAGCAGTTTTGTGGTACTTGAAATTCTATATAATTAATAAAAAAAATAAATAATGCCACATTGATAGCTCAGGAAGGTGTAATTGTTCAAATAACATATTGTTAAATTTTAAAATATAAAAAATATTGTAACCCTAATGTGTATTTCAATTGTAATATTTCTGTAAAGTCTAGGGACAGAAAAGTGGACGTTTCTGTAGAGTGACCCAAATGTAAAGCTTACAGACACTCCCTCCCATCACACAAAACCAACAAATGTAATGTGTTTAAGACACATCATGACAGCGCTGACACAAAACAAATTAGCGACAGACACTTCATGACAAACAAGCAGTGTTTATGATAAATAATATTATTATTGGCTCAGTGGCCTAGTAAATGTCCTTCCTTACGTTATTTGTTAGTTTATCAGCGTATATATTTTTTTCCGAGAGATCCCCACAGCTATGGAGGACGAAACGTGCAAAAACAATAAATAAAGAAATACACAAATAAATAAATAAATGTGTTTATAAATACATGTATTCTTGTTTAAATACATATAGAAATAATTAAACATGTGATTAAAGTAGGCAAATAAATAAAATAAATTGGTGGGCAAATGGAAAATGTTTAAGGAAATGCTAAACTTTTTTTTTTTACATTTATTTCTGAATTTAAAATCGTTTCATTCAAAATATATTTTAAAACATTTATTTAAAAATTGTAAATATTGTTTTTACAGTAAGTTAGGCCCTCTCTGACGGTTGCCCACTGTAAACAACATATAGCTAGTTAGTTTGAAATGGTGAAAGACATTCACGTACTTGATCAGAGGGTTTTTTTTTCCTAATACACTCCAATGCACCTGTATACCAACACACCTGTTTCTCCATTAATGGTTCTTTAATGTCCCGTACAGACAACAGCAACGTTGCATTTTGAAATGTGGACAGCAGAACCTTTGGCCTGTCAAAATATTATGAATTACTAAACATGATTAAAACTTATCCTGACCAGTCCTTAAAATTACACAAAAAAATAAAATGTACGTCTTCAGCGACGTTAACTGCATGAAAAGTAACACTGTAAAATGTATTAAAATAATTTCTATTCATGCATCACATTTAAATACGCAGCGTACTCCGAGACTCCGAATTTACTACTTTAAATCCATATAATTTGTGCTTTTGTCGATGGAAAATGTCTTTTTACTTGTAGTAGTACTTAATTACACAGGCTTTAGTAGTAGGCTACTACACTGATTGTTCAAATGTCTGTCCCCAGTGTGTCACTGATGTTCTCCGGGTGAGACAGTTAGCTGGGAACATTAGTAAAAGACGAATTGTAAAGCTGTGCCAAATTTATAAAGATTCATTATTTGCATTAAAAGCACACAATAATGATGTTATTAGCACACTTCGAGTTTACTTCGAATGCCATTGCGGTGCATTTTAAAGTTACTAAAAGTAAAGGATAGTATGACCTCAGTTTGTTATTAGTAATGCACGTTTAACTCTTAAAGTCTGATTTTAATGTCAGCAAAATACATTTGAAGTTTATGCTGAGTGAATTCTGCATTTCAAAACTTAAATACAAGAAGGGATATTTAAAGTGTACTTAAGTAGCCTATACTTAAAATAGTTCCACTTTAGCACAAACAAGTAGCCTATATTTATTACAACTTTAGTTGTACTTAAGCACTGCTTTGGCACAACTAAAATGCATTTAGTACAAAATTAGTTGTTCCAGCTTAACAGACTTTAAGTATACCAATTTATAGTGTGCCACAAATACATTTAGTTATACTAAACTACATACGAATACATTGTGCTTAAGTATACTATGTTTATCCATCAGTGGATTCATGATGAAGCCATGGATGACATTTTAGTTTTTACTACTTTAGTGGAATAAGTGTTTTGTTTCTCAGAGACATTGTTCTGTAAAATGTGATATAGTTTGTTTTTTAATAAACACACATTGTCTACAGCATGCTGCAGAAAGTATCCAAAAGGAATGTCAGTGAGACTAATCATTGGGTTTTCCATTCGTACCAGTATCCTTAAACTGAGGTGAGCTTGTGATTTCTGTGGATTAATCTATACAGATGAACACAGATGCATTGCTCTGAAATGAAAGCTATGATTCTGTTGTTTTAGGGTCAAAGTGCAAGCAATCAACAAAAAACCATCAAGAGCTTAATTTGACAACGTCTGAGGCAGAACAGATGCTACAACAAGAATAATTCTTCACGCAGGAGGATGAAGTTTAATGAAGTTTGCATATTTACTCTGCATAGTTGTATATGCAAGTTATTTTGTTTATTGCATTAAAATAATTTTATATGTAAAGTGAAATCTTGCATTTTGTATTTATTTTCTGTTCTTGTAGACAGTGTCGGGGAGTAACTAGTTACATGTAATGGAATTACATCATTTAATTTCAAAATAAATGTAACTATAATCTGTTACAGTTACTGAGAAAAAAATGTGTAAATTACAGTTACTTATGAAAATGTTAATGATTACAAAGGGGGTTACATCTGATATTTTCTCACACATACAGATTTAATTGACTTCTTTCATAAATTGCATTGCCTGCTTTAAAATATGAGACACCAATGTTTCAGGAGTTTAGGACACATGCTTATTCCATAACTGTTTTATTTCCTTTTGGGTTCATGTACATGGTTTATTTATTATTTAACAGTTTTTTGGTCAGAGTAATGAGATGCTAGCAAGGCTTATAAATCCCTTATAAAACAAAAAAATGTTTTTTTTTTTCCAAACTAGTTTCTTATTAATCTGTAACTATAACATCATGAAAAGCCCTGTCAAATTATATATTTTTCATAGGCAAATGTTATTAGCTTGGTCCCTCATTTTTAAACACAATTGTACACCTCACTCGTATCTAATCTGGAATAATAAGAATCTACTGCATAAACAATAATTCAGTTTGGGTCAGTACCGTATCACATTATTATAGACTACAACAAACGGGGGGCAGAGCAAAGATAAACACTGCCACGCGATAAAATGCGATTGTGAAAGTTTTCACAAATCGAGCTCGACCTAAAACAATGGTTTTGCATTCCAGCAGTCTGTGTGTTTATTGGTAATAGACGTTAAACATGAAGAATGCCTTTCTTTCACATTCTTTACTAGCGGACCAAGGGGTTTACGGACAAGAGCTTTGCTGAGAAGAAATGCACCTGCCGGTTTAAAAGTTCTCCCGCGAACCTCGTGTGGCAGCGGTGTGTTTGTGTGTTTTGGTTCACTGAAATGAGTTTTGTATCCTACTCTAATGCTGTGTCTAGCACTTAACTTGCCGTGTAACCGAGTTACAGTTCGTTTATTCCTTAATTAGGGAACAGGTAAACATATCGCGCAATATATATACACTTTGCACGTAGTAAGGATGTGTTTAGACACATTAGGAAAGCAGTGCGCGCCACCCCTTGTAATTTGGTTTTTAGTGGTAAGAGTAGGAAATTTAGAGGACTTGGGGAGCTTTATGGGAATCATTTGTTTTGATTTAGTTTTCTTTGATTTGGGCGCCACTCAAGTTCCTTTTCCCTATACTAGTGAATATTGTTTTTGTGATAACCTTCCTTACTTCCACTGTTCTTAATTTTATTTATTATTATTTTCATTGCAGCAATTGTAAATAGCACGTCACACAAGCATTTTTCTTGTGGCTTCGGCCTAATGTAATAAATCCTCACTTTTGAGCGTCATTCCTGCGTTTATGGTCATTTGTCTGCCTGGTTCAATCCACCCAGCAATAATTTACTTTCCAGGTGTTACAATCCAACTCCTAGACCTTTACAGTTCGTAACAGTATAATGTTCTTCAAAAAAAAAATCATAAAGACAACAACAAGTAAGATCAAAAGGGTGTTTAATATTTTTTGCAAAAAGAAAAACAAAAAGAAACCAGTAAAAGTATTTGAGTTGATTGATTTTTACAAAACAATAAGCATTTCACAAATCGATCACACTAAACGCCGGATTCAACGAGTCAGGAAATTAAAAAGTAACAAAAATAACATCTGGCCCCTCCCCCTTCACCCAGAGCAAAAAGACCCTTTAAAGCTGATCTGTGGCCAGTGCTGCCACTTACAGGACTGAAGCTGTACGAAGTGGCAGAGATCAAATTCATCCCGTTCCCTTCACTCAGCCCCTCAGAGTAGATTCAACATTTATGGGAAAACTGCTCGTTTCAGACAGTATATGCTCATGCAACAGAAAGGACTTCGGACACAAACCTCTCCCCCCACCCCACAATAAACACCGGTCTGGAATGGCTTCAGTACGGCCGGCCCCGTCTCTCCTCTCTGTGGTCTCCCCTTTAGGATGCAACAGAGACGAGCATTACTCAAACATCAGAGAACTCGTGATAACTCTGACTGACTGCAGAGCTGAGGGGTTTCATTACCTTCCGCCCATCTTGTATCCTCCGCGGTCTCCACCCCTGAAGCCTCCTCCTCCTCCTCCTCTGCCGCCTCTGAATCCGCCGCGGTCTCCTCCGTACCCGCCTCGACCGCCACGATCTGCAAGTCAGGAGGAAATCACAGCAGTGAAAGTGTGGTGGATAACGTCTGCTTGACATGAAACGGCACTCACAAGACACTTCCACAGAGCAGGGCAAACTAGGGAAGCTTGTTTCCACCACAGATCAGAACAATTCAAAGGATTGGAGACTGAATTCTGACTCCTCTGAAGGGGGAAAAGGCCAAATTACCTTAAATGTTGAAAAATGAATCGAGATATATATAAAAAAAAACTCAACTAAAAATTGAGATGTAAACTCCAAAAAAAAAAAAAAAAAAATAAAAC